GAGGGAGGGAGGGAGGGAGGGAGGGAGGAAGAGAGAGAGAGAGAGAGAGAGAGAGAGAGAGAGAGTGTTGAAAGGGAGAGGTAAGGAAGAGAAAGGAGCCAAATATTCACGTCTAACCTGTGTGATCATGGACACATGGTGTGTATTTACAGAAGTGATGACACTGTGGCCAAATACAAATAAGAGTCACTAAGACTAGCTTCTGTCTTTATGCTGCTTAAGTACAAAGATATACAAGGACATGTCCTTGTCCTCAAAGGGCCACTCACCATTCTCTAACATGAAGAACTACCAGCACAAGACAACTGGGAAGCCATGATGATGTTAAATCAGAACTATATGCACTAACGCAGAAAAGCAGTCTTGATAGCTGTTGTCTCCCTCCCTGCAACAAGACATAAGACAGTGCCAGACTGTGGCTACAACAGGCACTGAGTTTGAACTTGTACCTGACACGATTCTCTATAATGAATTTTTGGTAAAAGAAATATGATTTACAGTAATATATTGTGAACTGAAGTTTCCGGAAGGAAGGAAGGAAGGAAGGAAGGAAGGAAGGAAGGAAGGAAGGAAGGAGGACCAGCTGCACCTATGTTAAAGATTCTACAAGACCACAATCTTGTAGATGTGACTGAACTTCAAGATTGTGGAGAGTTAAAATGTTGCAAATCAGAGGCAAATTATCTTGTGCTATTTTTAGTCTCTTTGAAAGCCATTCATTGCCCATAACAGGGTTTTACCTAACATCCTTGTATGTATCTGTCTTAGTCAGGGTTTGTATTCCTGCACAAAACATCATGACCAAAAAGCAAGGTTTTATTCTCTTACACTTCCACATTGCTGAAGGTGAGTCAGGACAGGAACTCACACAGGGCAGGAACCTGGAGGCAGGAGCTGATACAGAGGCCATGGAGGGGAATGCTGCTTACTAGCTTGCTTCTCCTGGATTGCTCAGCTTGCTTTCTTATAGAACCCAGGTGTACCAGCCCAGGGATGGCACCACCCACAATGGGCCTTCATGGAGGCATTTCCTCAAGGGAGGCTCCTTTCTCTGTGATAACTCCAGCTTGTGTCAAGTTGACATACAAAACCAGCCAGTACAGTATCAAACCCTAAAATGTGTTCTGAGCTGACTTCTAGCCCAAACTCTACCAGGGTTTTGCCTGCTGTGACCCCTACCACTGAATCTGGTAAACACCTTAATTTACTACTTTCTTTGTTCTGTAACCAGTAAGATTTCAGGTAAGCAACAGTGGAGCATGGTGCTTGAGGAAACAGGACTCTGTGCTCCTGAGCCACTGTAATTCATATTGGGTTCCAGAAGGAACTATTATTCTGATTAAGGTGAGGGCCAGGTTTTTGAGTTGAAAATGTGGCTGCATTTGAATTTTTAAGAGTTATACTTGGTGGCGAAGGCAGGGCTCTGGAATAGAGCCTGGCCCAGAATGCAAAAGGCCCTGGTTCACTCTCAATTACTGGGGATGGGGGTGGGGATACATTTGAGTAAGAATAAAAACAGTAACTATTGTTCGGAGGTCATTTTATTCTATTGATTAAGGTGCCAGGGAATTCTTCCTACTGTGGTCTGGGCCCCTCTCCAAGTTTTTTCAATCATTTAACAACCACTCAGAGTTGGGCCAAGTATCTTCATCCATAACCCTAGTGCAACCCTTGCAGCAACAGGCTGCAGAGGCTCTCGCTAGGCAATTCCATCTGAAAGAAAGGGGGTTTAATTTCACCAGGCTCATTAAGTTCTAAGGCAGAACTTTAGAAGCAAAAATAATATCCTCACAGGTTAAGTCAAGGTAGCAAACTATTATCCAAGTTAAGATAAACTATAAAAAGTGAAGGTACCCGCGTCTTCAGAAGGGTTGGTGGGTTGGTCATAGTTCTGTTAAGTTACCCTTACTGAACTCCATATGGAATTCTGTAAGGGGAATTAAACCTCAAAACTGGTTGAATATCAGTGTGTTGGGAAAGAGGGGTGCGTGGTCATATACCCTCAGGCTCTGTTTGTAGTAGTTTATATTAGACTGTATTTCAAAAGCACCCTTTCTGTGTCCTAAAAGGTTATCCTTTTATACCCACAATACCCAGAAACAGGTGGCAGACAAAAATTACAAACCTCCACTCAGCCAGAGAAGTTGAGGAAAGTTCCGGCTGAAAAGTAGAAGGATGCACACAGCCTGGCACAAAACCGAGATGACTTCGTCGCTCCGGAGTCAAGGTGACTCCAGATTGCCCAGAACCTCAAAGAAGTAGGTGAGCTGGGCCAACATCCAAGGTGTGGGGCAAGCACTCTCACCCTTTATCGGGTAAAGTTTATCCGATCCAAAGTGCTGTCTAGGGAAATTTGAAATGTCCAGCGGCCGAGACCCATAGGCATCGAAAGAGAGGATGGATATAGACTGGTTCCCGTGTGGCAGCAGTTGGAGACCCGGGAACAGTGGGCTGAAAGGGTAGGCGAGGGGGCCGTGGGGCGGCGCGGGCACCGGTCTTGAGGACGTTCGAGGGAAGGGAAGCAGCTAGCAGAAGAGGAACAGAGTTGGCCAGGGCGAGCAGCGGAGCTCACCGATGGAAAGTGGGAAGCTGGGGCGGGCAAGTGTGGGGAACGCGTCGGATGGGTGCTGCGGGAGTGGCGGGGCCCTGCCCGCAGCCTGGCTCCACTTACCCCGCCCGGGCGGCGACGATCCCAGCGAGGCGCGGGCTAGCAGGCCTTTCTTGCCGATCAGCCTCGCCGGCACCGCGCGGCCCGCGCCTCCCATTGGCTGCCGCTTTCGGGACGCGTCTGACTCGGCCAATCAGCGCGGAGAAGCCAGGTTTGGAAACTTTTTCCTCCTAGGCCCAGGTGCGGTTCGGTCAAGCCGTGGCGGTGCCTGGAGGGAGGGGCGCCCGGAGGCGCGGGCCACTGGCCCTGAAGGCGGACGTGGAGAGGGCCTGCCAGAGGCGCGGTGCTCGCCGTGCCACGCACTCTGGAACACCCGCATGCCCCTCCTTCACACTGGTTGCTTTTATCTGCTCTTGCGCTTGCCTAAGAATAGACAAAGGAGCAATTGGTCAGAGAAACCCGGGCATTAGGAATAGCTAGTATCGGGTTACACTTGAAAGTTCTCTCCCCAATTCCAAAAATGCTATACTAGCCCAGAATACACAAAAACAAAACTGGCATAGAGAACGACAAACTTCTGCCCAGCCCAAAGGGCCTTTGTTGTCCCACAATTTTACACCCCAAATAGAATCTTTAACAACAGCTTCTTCTGAGACAGAATAATTTAGTGCGAAAGAACTTGACTTTAAATCCTACTTGGCTGTGTGAATTTGAGACAAGGTATTTAATTACTCGTGGATTAAATGGGTTTTTTCCACAGAGCTAAATAAATAAGTTTACAACGCTTTGTGTCGTGCTTTGTATACAGTAAGTACAGCATATGTATTAGTTAAATAAACATGGGTTGAACGACCAATGTGTCTCAGACACAATGCTAAGTTCTTTTGTGGGTGGTGTTGGAGGGCTGTGAGACTTCATGTGGTTGCTGGGAATTGACCCCTGGGAGATCAGTCAGTGCTCTTAACTGCTGAGCCATCTCTCCAGCCCCTTGTTTTTTTTTTTTGTTTTTTGGTTTTTTGTTTGTTTGTTTTGTTTTTGGTTTTGTTTTTTTCCTTTTTGAAACACTTTTCCTATGTAGCTTGGGCTAGCCTCAAATTTCTGAGCATTGCCTTAGCCTTATTTTTCAGTGGGATCACAGGCCCTGCTAATAATAATTTTTTAACGTTAAGCCATTCTAATTGTTCATTAATTATTGAGTACTGTTAGTCACAAGGTAATTTTACAACCTAGTGAGTAGACAAAGAATCTGATCTCAAAGGGTTAATACAGCAAACAGAAACAGAATTTCAGATGCCAAATGTGGAGAGACTATTTGAGAGACTGGGAAGCCAGAGAAAGGGATATTTAGCTTCTATTTTGTCAGTGCTGGGCTTGAACCTAGGGCCTTGGCCATGTTAGGCAAACACTGTATCATTCAGCTGTATCCCCAGCTTTCTATAATTGTTTAAAAGACGAGAAGAAAAGGTACAGGAAATGCAAGTGTTTCAATTTGTAGCTAAGAAAGGAGCTTCAGAGGGCTCTTTTTGACTCTTATAATCATGTTCTGCCCCATGGGCTACACAGGTAATGCCTCCTGCCTCCTCCCCCGAGTAGTGTTGATTGAAATCAAGCCCTTACCCATTCTAGGGAAGTGCTCTACCACTGACCTATACTTTCAGCCCTTTGCTTCTTTTGAGTCAAATTCCTTCTAAGTTGCCCAGGCTGGACCTAAGCTCACCCTGTAGCCTAGATAAGCCTTGAATTTGCAATCTTGTCTCTGCCATTCAAAGAGCTGGGGTCAAAGGCCTGGGCTACTGAACTTGGCCTTGTTCTCTCTTTTTAAATTCTGGTCATTTTGTTTGTAGCTTTTGAGCTGTGACCAAGCTGAGAGTTTGACTTCTCTTCCTTTGGTCCTGTCCTCATGGGTGGAAGAGGAGAATTCTGTTTAGTAACTTAGGTCTTTGGGGAGTTAAATCAGATGCAAAGTATCCAGTGGAACATCAAAAAATAAATTTCTGTTATCTTTGTTTCATAAATGTGAAGATTATTGAGAAAAGAAAAAAAAAAGGAAGCTTTTTGGCTTTGTTTTTATGAGACAGGGTCTCTGTGCAGCTCCAGTTGCCCTGGAGCTATGCCACCACTTCTGGCAAAAAATTCAAACCTACTTTTATTAAATAGGAATAAATTTGAGCCAGGTGTGGTGGAAATGCCTTTAATTATAGAACTCAGGAGGCAGAGATAGGAGTATCTCTGTGAGCAAGAGGTCAGCCTGGTTTTCATAGTGAGCTCCAGGACAGCAAGAATATGTAGAGAAACCTTGACCCAGAAGAAGAAAGAGGAGGAAGAGGAGGAGGAGGAGGAGGAGGAGGAAGAGGAGGAAGAAGAAGGAGGAGGAGGAGGGGGAGGGGGAGGAGCAGATTAACTTTCAAAAATTGTATCTTTTCCCCTCCCCCTCTCCCTGCCCCCTCCCCTCAGTCTTGGCTGATATAGGATAGGCTCTTATTATGTGACTTAGGCTTCTCTCTCGCCCATGATCTTCCTATCTAGCCCTTCTGAATTTGAAACCTGCAGGGGGTGAGGTTGGGAGGTCAGAGAACAATCTCAGATGTTGGTCCTTGCCTACTATCTTGATAATACCAAGTTAGCTGGTCTAAGACCTTCAGGCCATTCTCCTGTCTCTGCCTCCCCTCACCTGGTAGCCTACTGAGATTAGACAAATGAGCTGCTTCTGGCTTTTTACATGGGTTCTGGAGATCTAAATTCAAGTTGTCAGGCTAAGACAGTGGCTGGTTTACCCACTGAACCTTCTTCCCTGCTCCTGAAACATTCTTTTAGAAAGATTAAATTATGCACTTCCATTCATCCATCCATCCTCTTCTTGGCCTACATTTTTTCTTATTTATGCATTGCGTATGGTGTTTTACCAGCATGTATGTCTGTGTACTATGTGTGTGTGGTGCCCAAGCAGGCCAAAAAAGGGTGTCAAATTCCCCTGGAGTGGACTCAACAGACTACTCTAAGCCATTTGGACACTAAGAGGGAAACATCATCATACCATCACTACCACCGCCTCCTCTGGAAGCGCTCTTAACCACTGTGCCATCTCTGCTTGTAGAGAAAGCAAAATTGAGACCTTTAAAAGTGTTCTCTCTTTAGCTTTTCCTTTAGTCTAGCTGGCTGGCTTTATTTATTACGTTACTTGTTGACCCTAGCATACCCAGAGTAGAATAAATGCCAAGAAAAGTCAAAGGAAAATGTTGCTTCCCACTTTTATGTTTTGTAGCTAAAATCTGTTCAAGTAACTTAAATATCACAATTACTTTTTTCCTTTATGTTTTCAGTTAGTATTGTCAGTATTCAAAAATAGCTAGAAAAGTAGAGGTAAAATAGACACCTACGGTGAGTAACACACTTGTTTGAGACTCTGAAAAAACAAAACAAACAGCAACTGGAATCTTTTTCATTTGTTTTCAATTCTCCCTTGGAAAATTCTCTCTCCACACAGTCACAATGGTGTTCTTAGCAATAATATACATCTGAACAGGCAGTCACTGTGTGTATTCTAGAGGATTCAATAGAAACACAAAAGATTCTTCAACTACATGTCTGAACTCACTCCCCTGACACAGGAATCCAGGAATGCGAAATTCATTCCACTTACTGCAAGTCTCGAAATGATAGCACTGCCTACCCAGAGGCTCAGGAAGAAAAATGTACTTGGCATTTTCTGCTTCCTAATTAGTTAGCAAAATTCATTTGTTTCCTGGCAGACTTTTAAGTATAAACTATTTTAAAGCCAGCTAGGACATTCTAAACTGTGCTTACATTTAGATTGTATTTCTTCCCTAATTCGTAACAGGAAGTAGCAAAGAGCTAGAGATTTCAGGAATTACTTTTCCCCCTATGGAATCCTGAAAACTCATATTTAAGCCATGCATGGATTTGGGAGGCAACGGCAGGCAGATCTCTGAGTTCCAGGCTAGTCTGGTCTACAGAGAGTTCCAGGGCAGCCAGGACTATCACACAGAGAAACCCTGTTTCGAAAAACAAACAACGAAACAAACAAAAATTCAACTCATATTTAGGTAAAGTAAAAGTGAAGGCTGCAAGGCTCAGTGGGGGCGGGGAGGATACAGAGCAGAGTTTATCTGTTTAAAACATGAAGTATTTTTGATTTCATTTTATAACGTTAGCATCTTCTTTTTCGTGGCCAACTTGTCACCTGAAAAGTATGTTACAAATCAACGGGTTTATTAAAACAAAAAGTTTGCCAGGGGACACGAACGCTTTTAATCATAGCACTCAGAAGGCAAGGGGATCTCAGTTCGAGGACAGTATAGTCTATGGGGAAAGTACCAGGCCAATCCTGGGCTACACAAGTGAGACACTGTCTCTGAAAATTAAAACTGGGTAGGATATCATGTACTCCTAATTGTTGGTGTTAATATTCAGCTGCAGTCTTTGTATGGACTTTATCAGCACTGAAACTGCGAGAGGCAGAACGGACCTTGCCAAAAGCTCAACTGGCAGGTTTTACTGTTCTTTCTCCACTGGCCACTAGGTTGCGTTAAAGGATGCTATGCAACGTGCACGATTTAATTTGTAAAAATAAGGGTTATCATGTGACGAGGCAGAGTATTAAAAAGCCACCACAACACTTTATTTCACATTAATCTTGTCTCCTTAGTTAGTCCTTGCTCCCAAGACCTTTTAGAGCTGTACCCTAGCAAATCACATCTGGCAGGCCTGTCCTTGCCTCCATCACAAAAGTCCCTAGTTCTCCGCATTGAAGCTCCGTTCGACCTAGCGTCATCAAACCAGTGGTAAGAACTCCTAAACTAGGGTTCGTGCTAAAAAAAAAAACGCCGCCACACCCCGAGGTAAGACCCTATTTTGAGGTTTATCGGGAGGGGACTGAGCCTGACGAGGCTACAGGGCCGCGAGGCCCCGCCCCCCCCACTTCCCAGCGTGCCCTGCGCGGAGACGAGAAGACGAGGGCGGGGCGGAAGAAAAGACTGGGCGAGACGGCGGGAGGGGTGGAGCTAGAAAGGGGACGAGAGGAACGGGGGAATGGG